GGAAGCCGTCCCCAGGTGATTTTAATGTGTGGCCAGAATGAGAATCACTGTTCTGCTCTCTCCAGATGCCAGGGAACAATCCCCAGATTCCTGTTGTTTTACTCTGTTCCATACAGAGCTTGACCCCCTTTTTTTTAGTGAAAGTATAATTAACATACAATGTTCTATTAGCTTCAGGTGTACAACATATCGATGCGACAATGCAATACATTACGCAGAGCTCACCACAGAAGTGCAGTCAGCCGTACAACGTTATTAGTGTTATTGAGTGTACTCCCTATGCTGTGCTTTTGTCTTGTACTTTTGACTTCTAACTGGAAGTTTGTACCTCTTAATCCCCTTTACCTATCAAAGGGTTTGACTCTGTTTTTCCCTCTCTTTCCAGACCATGCAACCCCTCAGACTGCAGCCAGATTGTAGAAGAGCATGCTCTCCCTTCTTTCTCTGGGTCTACACCCATATGCAGGCCTTTAAAAAGTGGACCATCCTGCATATATTGTTCTGCAATTTGTTTTTGTCACTTGGCTTCCTTTCATTCTGTCATACTGATCTACCTCATTATTCAAAGCCCACATAATATTCCATTATTAAGCATATACCATAATTTGCTTAACCATTTTCCTGTTGATGTCATTTGGGCTTTTTTCCTAATATTTTGCTATTGCTGAATATGCTGCAATGAACATCCATGTGGGTGTGTATCCTTCAAAGCTTGTGCAAATATTTCCAGAGTGGAATCACTGAGGTCAAAGGATACATATATTTAAAATTTTGACACGTGTTGCAAAAATGCTCTCCATTTTTAAATGGTGTATCAATTTACTCTTCCACGGACAGTTTGTTAAAGGATTCCTTCCTTGATACTCCTAACCAACATCAAATATTATCGGCCTTTTTACTATTTGTTAATCTGCTAGGCAAAAAACAAGTCTTGCATTCTTTTAGTTTGCATTTCATGATACTAGTGAAGTTGAACATCTTTTTGTACTTTTGTTAGGACTTTATATTTTTTCTCTGAATTGCCTGAATAGATTTTTGATGACGATTAGTTTGGAGGATGCAATATAGTCCCCCCTACTTAATCTCTCTGCCTCTTTTTTCTCCATTATGCAGGCCATCTTATCTGGTCAATTTCTAACTTATTCAAAAGAAGAGAGGAAAATAGTATGCGTAATTAAAAACTTGAGAAAAGCACAATGCAATTTATATAGGATTTTAAATGTTTTTAGAAAAAGCACAGATCTGGGAGTGAGACACGGACTCACACCTTATTTCTGCGTCCGTCTATCTGGGTAACTGGGGATTTTACTTTCCTCGCTGAGCCCTGGCTTTCATAATTATAGAATGGGAATAATAACCTATTTTGCCTAATTGTGGTAATTAGACAAGATAATGTGTGTGAACCACCTGTCGTGGAGCCTGTCACGCAGTGAGGTGCTGGATAAGTGGTTGTTATTGTTACATTGTTATTATAACATTCGATCATGTGAATTCTTCTAAACTAGGAAGAAGTTCCTAAACTCACCAGGAGTTTCTCAGTCCCCTTCCTTATTCTTACATTAGTGTTAGCTACTCTCTAAAATCACGCCCCTCGGCTTACGTCCCCTTCCCTCTGCCTCTCTGAGCAGGGCGTTGTCCCCTTCAAAGTTAAGAGTTTTGAATTTCAAGTCTGCAGACCCAGAGACAGAGGTGGCCCCGCGCTGTGATGGAGCCCCGAACAGGCTGTGTGTTAAGAGCGGGGCCTGGAGCTGTGAGCAAACCCAGCATCAGAGAAGGTCTCACTTTCCCCCAAGGTTAGCTGTCAGATGGAGCCTGTGATTAACCCACAATCAACAACTGACCGTGGTTCCAGTTGAAATAGTTGTAGTTATAAGTCATAGACCCTGGGGGCACAAACTTAATATCTTGGACCCCAAGAAGTACAGAGGCATGGCCAAGCCAAGGTGGATTCATTCAAGCAGTTCAGCAACATCCTCCGGAACCGAGTCCTTCCCATTCTTCGATCCAGCCATCAGCAGCTTGTTGCTGGTCCAGAGTTGGCTGCCCCGTGTCCCGGGGGAGCTCCTGCAGAAAAACCAGACAGAGAAAAGAAGCTTCTCCTCATGTGTCTCTTTTAGAGCGTGAAGAAATCTTTTCTCACAAGTCCCCCTGCCGATTGTTCCTAACATCGTATTGGCCCCAGCTGAATCAGGAGCAGGACAATGAGATTACTATTGCTGATTTGGGCTGCTCTGGGCCAGAGAGAGGCCCGGCCAGTTCTGAAGCACGTGGCTGTCCAACACCCGAGCAAAACCAAGGAAGGAAGTGGGGAATGGCTGTTGCCAGTGATGATAATGATCAGCAGTGTGGCCCAATGCCATGTGCATTTATAAGGAGTCATAAGATATATTTTTAAGATCGGATTTTTATTATGCAAATGCTTCAGTTAGTCATCTAAAATATTTACCAACTTTGAAGTTTGCAACCTGGAAACTTAGCATTACAAAGGGAGGGCAGTAATATTTCCTGTCATTTGTAAAGCTAAGAGTGTTGTTTATGAGTAAATAACCCAGCTTTAAAAGGAGTAAGTCTTGAAGAATGAGCATTCAGTTCCCAAGCACTTGGCATGGAGTGAGTTCTGTAGCTCTATTGTGAATTTAGGATAGAAAACTGGACAAGTGGGACCCAAATGGAGCCGTAAGGGAGCCAAGGTGTTCCTTCTAGGGCTGTGTCTGTGGTGGAGGCCTGTTGTCCAGGTCACCTGGGGAACCTCATACCAAACACCTGGAATATAAAGATACGGGGGGAGGAAGGCACATGGGGGAGTGTAGTTCCAGAAAAAGAGTTCATTCTAAGACATCCCTTAAATATCCCCAGATCCCTTGACCTGGAGGACCAAACTAATGACATTCCCCCCTGCTCACGTCTCTGTCCTTGCCCTTCAAGTCTGGCTTATGCTGAAGAGCACAGGTTTCAAATGCTAACAGGGCACAGTCCACCATGAGGGGCAGAACATGAAACATAGGGTCCTGAGGCCCAACCTGGGAAGGGTATGAGTGAATTCACAACTGGAGAGCCACCATGTCTTGGATCCTTCCACTCTAGAATACTTGTTTGGGACTGACTTTCTGGAATGAAGAACCTTTTTGCACACTTGGTTAGAAAAGAAACAATCTGTAAAGAGGCAAAACCAGGTTTGGGCAAAGTTACCTGGGTGAGACACGGGTGAGGCGGCCTGGAAGACTGGTATCTGTGTGCGTGTGTGTTTGGGGGTGCATGGGGGAGGGTGAGCAAGTGTATTGCAGGGAGCTCCACCTGGGATGCATGCTGGAACCACCTACCCACATCTCACACCCAGACCAATTATACCAGAATCTCAGAAAGTGGGCAGAGCAGGGTTGAATCTACCACATCCAAGTTCTTAGAAATAGTTCTCTCAATGTGTTACCCTAAGAATTTTGTTCATAGTCCCACCTTGGATAATAACGTCATCAAGGGGGTTCACTGTCCCCTCTGCCTGTCTTCCACCGCAGATAGGTGCTGTCTTGGGGATACAAGCAGAGAGGGTGGGAGCCCTCGGCAGGCAGGTGGTTTCTCCTCCTCTGATCCGCAACTGAGCCAAGGACCAAAGACGTGGTTTTGGTGAGACCTCCAAGGTTGGTCGCCCCCATGGCCCTTCTGTGTGTCACTTAGGATATCTGATGGAGGAAGCCCCTAATCATCAGTCGTGATCTCCCATGAGCAACAAAAAGCTCTTTCAATATTATAATAATTTGGAAAACTGACTGAACAAGAAATTAGTTCTAACTGTTGGTGAGGGGATGACAATTGTTAAAGTAGTGAATCATATGAGAAAGGGAACACAGGAAGGCTTGTAATCACAAAACATGCTCTTAGAAAATATTGTGAGGAAATCCATTTATTCATCCATCCTATGAGTTGGAAAGACTCTAGAGTCTGGGTTTGCATCTGCCATTCCACATCTTGGCCTGAGAGTTTGGGCCAGTCATCTTACTTCCCTGATTCCTAGGTACCTCACTTGTGAAGTGGGAAGAACAGTAGCTCAGGATGGCCCTGGGGACCATGGGTGCTGAGGACTCTTATCACTTAGCTGAGCCAGGGAGAAATGGGCCCTGGCCCACGTAACCCTCACAAAGTTGTGTTGGGGCGGGCACAGGTGTGCTGGCTAATCCCAAGGCCAAGTCGGAAATGTCCCTGGACAGTTCCAGGGCCCACCAGAGCCCTTCCCTGTCCTGAGACTCATAGCCTACACAAAGGGGGTGCCCGTGCTGGGAGCCAGCTGAGATGGGCTGGTCCCATTTACCTTTGCTTCCTCCCCGCAAAAAGAGCAAGCTCGGCCCTGTCATCTAAGCTGAATAATTTGGCCAGAGTTGAGTGATAATGTCCCAAATTGAATGGCATTCTCAGGGTCATCAACTGACTTCCAGCATATCCTGGCTCTGTCCTATACCAGCCATGTCCCTTGGGGCAAGTGCTTTAACCTCCCTCAAACTTGCTCCCCCATCATCTGCAAAATAAATATGGTGGCACAGGATTGTTGTGAAGATTAAGGTCATCGAGATAGAGCGTAGGAAGCATTAGCACAATGCCTGGAACATGGAAATAGAGTCCCTATTATTGGCTTATCAAAAGAAGCAGGCTTAGCATTCCTGAATATTACTGTACATTTTTAATATAATAAAACCATATTTACTTAGGAAAAAACCCTCTAATTTATTCTCTCACTCTTCAGACTGGCCCTGTGCCCTATTCAATTCAAATTAGTGAGGATTTTGTTATACCAATGGCCAAATAGTGTTCACAATCCCTGATTCTCCCTGGGACCCCACCTACTGTGGTAGTGCGGTGTGGCGGAAGTGACCCCCAACATCTCCCAGTCCTCAGCCCCAGGATCGTCTGTCATCAGAGTCACTTCTCGATCGCTCAGTGGGAAGAGGAGTGGTAGCCCCGATCCGGGGCTTGCGTTGGCTTGCACTGAACTTGCCCGTCTCTCCCGGCAGGCGGTAAAGCGGTTCTTGAAACAGGAATGCAAGTGTCACGGCGTGAGTGGCTCGTGTACTCTGCGGACGTGCTGGCTGGCCATGGCCGACTTCAGAAAAACGGGCGATTACCTCTGGAGGAAGTACAACGGGGCCATCCAGGTCGTCATGAACCAGGATGGCACTGGTTTTACTGTGGCTAACAAGAGGTTTAAGAAGCCAACAAAAAATGACCTCGTGTATTTTGAGAATTCTCCAGACTATTGTATCAGGGACCGAGAGGCAGGTAAGTTCGAAACACTTTATTCACAGTATCTCATTCTTTCACCGATCAGTACTCCATAGCTTCAACACAGTCCTGGGCTTTCAGCCTGACAATTTTTTTTTTTTTTTTAAAGATTTTATTTATTTATTCGAGAGAGAGAGAGAGAGAACACGAGCAGGGTGAGGGGCAGAGGGAGAAAGCAGACTACCTGCTGAACACACAGCCCAATGTGGGGCTCGATCCCAGAACCCTGGGATCAATGACCTGAGCCGAAGGCAGATGCTTAACCGACTGAGCCACCCAGGGGCCCCCAGCCTGACAATTATGTAAGTGCAGCCAGCTGCCTTCAGGTTCAACGTTCATGTTCTTATTCATATTTAAAGTGTGCAGAGAGCTTTCCTAAGCAACTGGAGAAATGGGTTGATAATGTGCAGGTTCTGGAGAAAGGTGAACCCAAGAAGGTACATGGCAAAGCATCAGAACAGGCAGATTAGCCAAATTCTTCGGCCTGGATGAAACTCTAATCGGTGGGCTAATGTACACTCTGTACAGCAACCCAGCATCTTTCCTGTGATCCTGAAGCCAAGAGGAGTAGAGCTATGCAATGGGCCTTCTCCGTTACCAATCCCACCTCTGTGACTATGGAGGAGGGGCCCCGGGCTTTAAAGTTAGCCAGTTTTGAGATCTGCCATACTTCTCACTCCCTCGTTCTTTCCAATAGGCTGAGAAGTTGCCAAATACTAGAAAGCAAAAATTTATCCCCACTGGCTTGGCTGTTGGTGGGCAGTGGATGAGAGCTGTGTAAGAGGTATTTTGTTTATTAAAGCCACACCCTTCCCTTGCAGACAGCACTTCATCTGTCTTGAACTCACCCAAAGAGCAGCTCCATCAGCCTCAACATAGCTGTTTCCACCAGTATGGTTTTAGGCACCTGCTGTTCTCCACCTTTCACCTCTCCTGGGCAGCTCTGAGCTCCAGGCTTAGCACAGTCTTTGCAAAGACTCATACAAAATAAGAATGAGTACAAGTCTCAGTGGATGGGAGGAGATAGAAAGCCCACAGCCAACTCGCTCGAGCCAACTTCCCAGATTTAGTAGAAAGCAAGGGAATTCATTATCAGGAAAAACGTCCTTGAATTTAAATTCTAAATTTGTTTTTGGTTCTAAAGTAATTGCAAAGAAACTAGTAAGACAGTGCAGACGGCAGCCAGCTCCTAACACTAGATTGACCAAGAGGGACAATTACCAGGGAATGTCAGTCACAAGAAGTCCAGAGCCTCTCCTTTGTCCCTGAGCGGTTGAATTTCCTTCCTGGTTTGATGAGTGAGTTCTTTACAGCATTTGGGCAGGTTTGTACATGCAGCCTTATGGATTAACAAGGACTGAGCAAAAGGACCAGATGCTGTGCCCTGCTGCATTCCTGACGTGCTTTGGGACCTCTAACAAGTCATCCTACCTGTCAGGCCAAAGTTTCAGCCAAATCACCATGAAACCTATACTTTGATAGAGGATTGTCCCAGAGGTCTGGCTCTCCTCTGCCATTAACTAGCCATTTAACCTCAGGCTGCTCAGATAGGACATGGGGATGATGACATCATGGGCACTTTAGGAATTACAATGGATTGACTCCTGTGTGCCAGGTACTGGGCTCAGATCATTGCACACATGGTCTTATTTAATCCTCAGAGCCATCCAATGACATCAGCGCACTGGAACCAGTTCCTGGAGGGGTCAGGGGGTTGGGGAGAGGGTGGCTCCTGGTTGATCAACACCAATGACGAACCAAATTCCCATCTTAGCTTTTGAGATCAGATAAGCAGCCCTGGACATCATCATCCCAATTACCTGGATGAGAAAAGTGAACGACTAGCTCAAGGTCTCCTGGTCTTAGAGAGGATGGATGTCTGGTTATCTGACCCCATGGCCCATACACCTGACCCTGACACCACAACTTGTCACTAGCTAGCTCTGAAAAGACTCCATGAAGCCAAACGCTCATTTCAAATGTAAGAGGACCTGCTTCCCCAGCTCATCTTTCCTGGGTTTTTGGATTGAAGCAGTTCACACAGTGAAGCGAACAGTTACGATGCTTGATGACCATTGAATTGCCTCATAGGTATCCAATGAAATAAAGACCTTGCTTTGTCTTCCCCACAGAGGAGATTCTGAATCTATTCCCTGACGCCTCATCCGGATACTAAGTTATTCTTGCACACTTTGCTTTTGCTCCTCCCGTTATTAGAACACGATTCTGTTTCTTGATCCTAAAATAGCAAACACATCTGCAGTACCTGCCATTCATTAGCACTTGATCTGCATTCTGTCAATGACTCTCACAAAGAATCTATAAAGGGGTATGTTATTATCCCATTTTATGGGAGGGAAAAATGAGGCTCTGACAAACAGGTTATGGAATTTGCTTAAAAACTCCCAGTTGGTTAAGAGGCAGAGGAGGGACTTGAACCGTCCATTCTTTTAAACATTTTACTCTGTCTCCAGATGCACCAGCTACAAGGCACCCTGTGGCAGGTGCTGACTTTCTGAGGGAAGTTTTATAATTTATTCACTCTCAGTTTATTTCTGTTCTATTTTAGGCGATCTCATTTTTAGCTTAAAAAGATGTAAACTTGGTTCTTGTTGGTGTTGATTTTTTTTTAAAGATTTTTTTATTTATTTGAGAGAGAGAATGAGATAGAGAGAGAGCATGAGAGGGGAGAGGGTCAGAGGGAGAAACAGATTCCCTGCTGAGCAGGGAGCCCGATGCGGGACTCAATCCCGGGACTCCAGGATCATGACCTGAGCCGAAGGCAGTCGCTTAACCAACTGAGCCACCCAGGCGCCCCCTTGTTGGTGTTGATTAACAAGGAGCCACCCTGTTATTCTTTTTTTTTTTTTAAATAGCTGGTTCCAATGTATTAGATCAGATTCCTAGATTATTCATAACTTGCTTGAGCTATTCTTCATGTCCTTTTTATAGCTGAGCCTAAGAAAATGCCAAAGTCATCCATATAAACTTTTCTTTTTCATTCTGTTGACCATCAGGTGACTATTTTAGTGAAAATATGATCCAGGGTATTTGCTATCATGGAGGCAAAAGTTCCAATTATTGAAAGAGTAGAGTTTTCATTGTTCATACTTGAATTCACGTATACCTAGCCACACGCATGAGATGCAGATATTCCCTGAGAAAGCCTGCTTCAACTCACACAGTGGCCGAGAGCCTTGCGCTTGCCTGTATGACCTATGGTCTTCTAAAAATGGTTTATCCTGGCCATTTTCTACTAGAAACTCCTGTAATGTGCACTCTAGAAAGCTGGCCAAAAGTCACAGAAGTGGGTGGTTCCGAATCATTCTGGAGTAGCCTCTAACCTCTGTTTGCCGAGGCAGGGAGATGTGACAGAATCTGAGGCCATCAAGAAGGGGGAGACTCCTGCTGCCTGTAACTCACAATGGCATTCCTTTTCTGAACTCGGCTCCCTTGTCCTGAAAGAAAGGTGTTGGGGGTTGAACGGCTAGCATCCTGTCAATCGACATTAAAGTAGCCCCCAGCATGTGCACATCACTGAGTGAGCAAGTCACGAAAAGACTCTCTTCCCCTCACTAGAACCATGCCTAACCTTAGGAAGGGCCTGTTTTCTACTAAATGAAACTCCCACGTGTTTGAAATGGGTTACCTTCAAAGGTATCCAGGCTCTAAAATAGGTCTGAATGTGGCAGTAAAATTTAAAGCAAGTAATTTTTCCTTCCTTTTCTCTGTTAAAATGGGCACTAACCTTTCCCTAAATGACATCTCACACCACCCAATCTGCTTTATTGTGGCCATATTGTTCTATTTCGCTTTTTAGAAATATCATAAACATTTCTTACTTAAATGACTGGGTACCTTCTACTTGTCAGCACTGGAAAAGCAATGGTACTGAGCACACTGAATCTTGCCAAGTAATAGATACCTGTAGCTGACTGACTTCACTCTTGCTAGCCAGCACCTTCTTCTTGTTCAGGGTAACTCATTATGTGACAGAAGTGAGCCTGCTTGTTTTGTCAGTCTGGTTTATGGAACGGATGAAGACGAAAGGTCTAGTCCACTATTTTCCAAAGGGAGGGCCTCTTCAGAAAACTATTAAATCAGAATTTCAGGGGATCGTTGCTGAGATTCTGTCTGCATTTCAAACTTGAGCACATTAAAGTGGAAAATCGATGTTTTAGGCAGTCCCTGACCTACAACATGGTTTTTCATAAGTATTTTTTCATAAGTATTGGGTAAGAAGACATCCCAGGAAACATTATATTCTTTGGAATACCTGATCTCTTATGAAGGAAAAAAAAAATCTTTATTTAAGGAGTTCTAGACAAGTGGCACCCAAAAATATTCCCCTCCCTGGCTTGCCCAGTACAAGAGGGATGTTCCTCCATGTGGAAGCCCTGCATTTTCAGGGACCCTCTTGCACTATAAGTGCAGTAGATCTCAGCCATCCAAGCTTTCAGTGGAATTAGCTTGACAGACATGATCAAGCCAGGCCTTTAGTGAAGGCCTGAGAGAATGATAAAGGCATAGTGAGTGAATTTCGACAAGAAATGCAGAAGGCTGAGCCAAGACCCTGGGGTACTCCTGGGTGAGGACAGACCCAGACCCCAGGGGGAGAAGGGTAGTAGGAAGGTTGGGTGAGTTCCTCCGAGAGTCTGGCACCTGCTACACAACTTCTGGGCATTTTCTCTGAATCTGCACAGCAGTTACCCCCATTAATAGAGTAGGGAATTGAGGCTCAGAAAAGCTTAACTTTCCCGAGACTGTGTGGCCTGTAAGTGGTAAATAAAACAAAATAAATAAAAATCAAAACAAAAGTCCATACTTTTCTCACTATATCACTTTACTTACTGAAATTTGGGGAGGGGAGACCTGTGCCCTAAAGAGGCAGCATGAGGACACGGGAACAGAGTGGGCGGAGGGGCCCACAGAGTGGGGAGGTGGAAAGTGGTCAGACCCAAGCTTCCCTCCCGTTTGGTGCAGGCTGCCTTGAGGCC